GTGGAAGCTCCGAGCAGGGTACCTTGGCGTTTATATCTTGGGAACGCAGGACTGATCCTGCTAATGCTTTTCTTTTAGTACTGTTTTATGTTAAACAATATAACTGCAATTTAATCCTGATGTACAAAGGAAGTCCATTTAGAACATTCCCACCAGGAAGCACTGAGCGAGTTCTAACAACTGACCGATGTGCGACATTACAGAAAGAGATTTATTGTAATGTATAAAGTTTTATTGTGTAAATGTACAATATAATATGTGAAAGCTAAGATTATAGTTCACAAATGGAAACTTTTTATTTGTACTGCTTGGTTGTATTGCGACTTACATAAAGTTATTCACCAATGTGCGTATTAAAGGGATTTCAAAATAAATTCAAAATGAATTTCAAATTACGGCGATCGTACTGAAACCGAAGATCTCTGCGCGTAGTGAATTCAAATCCAAATGGCAAAATTCAGGGTAAAATAAGCCGATCTAGGAAAATTCTCAGACTCTTGGCACTATTTTTGCCAGGATTTTGTGTTTTGGATTTTAATTTACTAAGGTCCAGAGTCAAGTGAATAACCCTGGGAGTGTGCCACGTGGTCATGTGTGGCTGTATTGTCACCTTTTACATTCTCATGAGCTGTGAAAAGCAGTAGTTAAGGGGGGCAGAATCCAATGTCTGAATTCCATTTTTTTTCCTTGGAGGGCAATGATGCAAAGGTGTAGAAATTTTTTGAGTTGTATTAATAAAGTGCTGTTTTTCCGTATTCTTGCTGCCAGAACAACGCATGCAACGCGTAGATATTCCGGTGACTTTCATGAGAGGCTTAGTGAACACACGCAAATACAAACATTGGTTAAACGATCATCCCCGATCTAGTAATTTCTCATGGGAAATTGATTAACAGTGTAGAATGTCTGAATCTGCAGCAATAACAAGCAGCGGATAGACGCAGACAATGTTATTAACACGGCATTGGTGGAATAGATGAATAATCAATCGAAGAGCCATGGAAATCGATCTTTTACTGCAGTTCAGAAACGTGTGACCACAAAGGCTATATTGAAGGCAGTAATGGATTTAATGTATACATATTGCTAGTGTAATCGCTGCTAAATGCGTAGATACATGTATACAGAGGTTAGACTCTGCGTCTGGTCAATGCGTGCAGTTCAGACCCTGCGAGTTCTAGCATGGCATGTGTATTAGAATGCACAGGCACTCCCTGCTGTAATTAGCGGGAGTGTTTACACACAGGGACCGAGTTAAAACAGGACTTGCAGAGGAAGAAGCAGACCATAAAATGTAGTATTCAAATATTAAACAAATAATGGAGAGGAAGAGAACACCATCAAATCGACCTCCGCAAACTCCAAAAAGCTTTGAAAACAGCCTTAGGGCAGAAGGAGAGTGCGCGACACGAACAGCGTGCAATATTGATTCAAATAAAGATTAAAGATGCCCTTCCAATCTGCAGCTCTGTGCAGGGAATCGTGTGTGGAATAAATATCTCCCCGGTCAGCCAGCCACGTGTCAAGGAAGCCTCCAGGAAACAGAGCAGTCGTAATGTCCTGGAGACTAGTATATCATGTAGTTCAAAAATGAAGATATTGGGCGACTGTGTTGGCTCACCTCTCGGCTGAAGGTTACATGCCTGACCCAGTATTTTCTTACTTGCTTATGGCCTTAAATAGTGGAAATGTTTCCTTTCCTTATCCCAAGTCCTCTATCTGGGCTTATATATTATTGTGACGGACACCCCGAGTAGGAAGGGGTCTATTCCATCAGAGACGTCCTCTTCCCTTAGTAGGAGCAGGTCTGCAGGGTTCTCCAGTATATATTCCAGCCGATCACAAATCCAATAACGTTGTGAAGCTCTTACAAGAGCTAGTGATATAGCTGTGAAGTAGGTTCCCTACAATCACTAGACCAGGCTACGTGTAGAGGGTTAAACAGGAATGCTTTAATGGTAGCCACACTGGCCCTTTATGCAAGTCCCCAAGGAAGGGTGACACCCACCTGGACCTTGTTGGGGACAGGGACACAAATGTATACACCAATCACAATAGAATTACAGTCTGAGACACTCCCACGCATGGCATACAATCTCTCCCCTCTGTTTGGGAGATAATTGAGTTAATTTCTGTAACAACTCAATTATCTCCAAACGAAAAAGAAAATTTTATACACTTTCTGGAAACACCCCCAGATCACATAAGAACCCCATAGAAAGCATATCCTCTGATAGCACCGATCTGGGTAAGCAACATATTAAAAAATCACCCAGATCGGTTCAGGGGTTTGGGAGTTGTATGAAAGACCCATTTTTGACCTCTTTTTGTGCACTTCAAAACGCTGAAAAATGTCTCGAATAACTGTTCATGTGGAAGTTTGTCGTGTGCCTCCTTGTTCGGGAGTTGCTTTTCACCGAACGCCGCCTCTTTCGGATGGAATAGGACGAAGCTAAGTGATCCTGGAAGTCTCAGCGGTGTTCAGGCAGTTGAGTGTCCAAAAATAGTTACATACACTCAACGACCAAACACCCTGGCCGCGTTTGACAAAACAAGATGGCTGCCGCCACGTGTTCGTACATACGAATCAACGGGAACCCAGTGGACCACTTAGAATGTTCAGAGTTGTGGTTTTGAACAGTGTCAATAGGGTCAATTGACGGCACACAACTCTCGACCATAACTACAGCTGCCAAAATCTTTACAGGCACGAGTATGATGTACAGCGGACCAAAGGCATGGTCAGTAAAAGGTCAAAGAAAGGGCTCCAACCGAGCCTAACCATCTAGATAAGAGTCCCAATCAGGCCTAACCAGCTATATCAGGCATAGGCAACCTTCGGCACTCCAGATATTTTGGACTACACCTCCCATGATGCTTGCCAGCATTATGGGGGATGTAGTCTGTGACAGATCCATCTGTCTACGTTCTATCTGCTGGTTCGCCTAATTGTTATACTTTCGTGGAATTACCTGCCCGTACGCCCCTGTTCGTCTATTTCAGATTACACCGAATAAAACTACCGAACGGATGGCCACCCAGAGGAGAAGTGTGCTGCTGGTTAACCTATTGACTTCAATTAGAACATTGTGGTTAACCGCAGACACCTCTTGATTAGAACCGTATGCAGAGTGGTCGTCGTTCGCATGTCGACCACGAGGCGGCAGCCATTTTAATCACACGAATGCACAGCGTTGTTCGGCACTCAAACTATGGAACTAAAAACTGACACTTTTTTTTTTCTACCGAACACCGCTGAAACTGCCGACCGCCCTTCTTATCCCTGGGCATGCGAACACCGGTCCGTTCGGGACTTTTATTACACAAATGGACTTAACCCAGATAGTCATCCCATGGAGTAAATCGTATACCGAAAGAGCAATGTGAAAGACTTTGACTCCATGGCGATTGAACTGTGTGCATTGGGTCTGAGTGCTATTCGGTAGTTATGTGCGCTCAGACCCAGGCTATCTTGGGATACGTTACGCAAACTAAAAGCATTCAGTAGTTTTATAATTATGGATTTTTATGTGTTTTTATTATACTATGTAAAATGGCGATTTGCCTCTATCCCTGGAGATAATTGGATTTCTTCCCAATTATCTCCAGGATAGAGACGAGGGATTTACTTGTGCAAAGGGCAGTGTTTAGAGTTGAGCCACTGTCCCAGTCTCCCATCTGGTCCCCTAGAGGAGTGTCCACCAGGTGGGAGACCTGCATAAATACCGGGCAGGTAGCCCTCATTAAAGCAGATTCCTGTTTTTACCCTCAAGACGGAGCTTGGTCTCGTGTCTGAGGGGATTGCTACTTGGAAGTGTTATTTCACCTATTCTAGGAGAGGAGGAGTTTGGCTGATTCTTTGTTCGGGAGTTTGAAGCATTCCATTATACTCCGTTCGGGAGTTTGGCAGTCCACAGCAGCAGAGTCTTAACATAGTCCACAACATCTGGAGTGCCAAAGGTTGTCTACCCCTGAGCTATATAAAAGCCTCAGCCAGGTCTAACCAGTGAGATAAAAGCCTCAGCCAGGCCTTACCAGCGAGATAAAATCCTCAGCCAGGTCTTACCAGTGAGATAAAAGCCCCAGCATGGCCTAACCAGCGAGATAAAAGCCCCATCCAGGTCTAACCAGCTAAATAAAAGCCCCAGTCAGGTCTCACCAATGAGATAAAAGCCCCAGTCCGGTCTCACCAATGAGATAAAAGCCCCAGTCAGGTCTCACCAATGAGATAAAAGCCCCAGTCAGGTCTCACCAATGAGATGATAATCCAACCGAGTCTGTCAATCCAGGAGTTGTGAAGCCTAACCAGCCAGAATAAATCAAACCATAACAAATCTTTATAGGGCCCTCGCCATGCCCACCAAGCCAGGTTAATGAATCCACCGTGAAGATCAGATCTCAGACCTGCATGTTTATAATGTGTTCTTTGACGATTTTAATGAGCTATCTCCAGCCAGAGGTCCAGTGCAGGCCACGGCAAGACAGGTAGTAAAATTAAAGCAATACCCCCTAGACTGGATGGATCTGAGAGCTCTTTGGACAACTTGGGTGCTCAGGTCAGGGGTATCCGAAGATATTGGACATGTGGGGTTCCTGTATGGTCTGACTATGTTTTGGGGTACTTTTTGTAAATCTATGTGTATAACTGGGAGATAAGGGAGTTACCGGTCTTTGACTCCATTTTCTCCCAGACACAGAGAAACCTGGGTGGGCTTACAATAGAAATGTATGTAGACCCCATGCTGGGGATATGCCTATACAAGAACTTGCCCTCAAATAAAGCTTCAGTTGCACTCTTAGAACTGTGTGTCATCCATTAACTGGGAAGGAATAGAGCGATTCACTTTTCAGCGCCTTGTTCCAGTTCGGGAAGGATTCGGTGGAGAAAGTCCTTGTCAAGACTAGAGCTCAGCTACTGTATCTCTATGTAAAACTGGGTTACTACATTCCTAAGTGGAGATATACCGTTTGTATTGTGACATGTAGCAGCAGGTGTGCAGTAACAATCACCTCGTGAATATTTCTCTTTGCCAGCTTCTGCAGTTGCCAAGATTCATGTTTTCTGTATCTATGTGGGATTAGAATGTTGTTCGTAAATGCGCATGTTGCCATGGAAAAGCTAATATGTGGTTTTTGTTTTTTCCTTGCTTGTGAACTTTTATGTTAAAAACACTTGAAGTAGCTCTTGAATACTGATGTTACTGTGGAAATATGACATTTGTGTAGCAGTTCCGAAGCAATAGAAGAATGTTTGTTTGTCTGCTCTGTTTTCCTCCCTGTAATTATGTGATGGGAGCCCGGAGGGCTGGACGCAGCTTACTCCGGCTTTTCAGGCACTGCGTGATAATATCCTCTGGCTGCAGGACATTTAGTATCATTTTCTGATAGTTTGTTGGCATTGTCAGCGTGTGGAGAGCAGCTCTGTGGGGTAGAGATTGAGATTTGTCTGACTAGGCGTGTTGAGACATGATTTTTATAAAACGAGTAGTGCAGCCGGGCTGTCAGAGATATATGCCGCCACGTGGCTCATATCTGAGAAAAGGAAAGAGTGTTTGGCGATATAATCACACGTGCACAAAAAACTATTATTCACTAAAGGGTGAATTGTCCCCAATTCAAGGCGAATTTTATATTTTAGGCCAAATCTAGCTAAACAGAAAGTGTAGTTGACTTGAGAACTTTTGGAATATGGCTTTTTATACATGCGTGACGGTGTGGTAGTGAGGTGCAGCATGCGTGACGGTGTGGTAGTGAGGTGCAGCATGCGTGACGGTGTGGTAGTGAGGTGCAGCATGCGTGACGGTGTGGTAGTGAGGTGCAGCATGCGTGACGGTGTGGTAGTGAGGTGCAGCATGCGTGATTGTGTAATGTGTAATATACATGATGCAGTAAAATAATCTTAATAATGAGCTGCATTATATAGCAGCACAACTCTGCTAGAACATTCAGTACTTAGAACAGCTCCGCTAGAACATTCAGCACACGGGACAGCTCCTTGAGAACTATATAATACTTTAAGAAATGTGTGTGTGTGTTAACATTTTATTTATTTTAATGACATTGAATTGGAGTTTTCCTTTCAGAGAGCAGCCAGCACTCCAGTCTGATCCTCCACAGCCATTCAACATCTGGATAGCTGTCCTAGCACATTCTGCTTGTTACCATCCATCTCGTTAGCACATACAGTTTGATCTCAGACTTTATTTGCCGAGCTTGCGAGTCAGTCTAGGGTTATATAGCACAGTCTGTCTGTGTTGAACAATGTGGCGGAACCAACCTCAACACTGTGCACTGGAGGAGCATGGTTGCCCGCCTGCTGCCTTTTGACTATGGACCGGCATTTAAATACTTTATTTTCCTATGCAGAAAGGTCTATTCCTGTATTTCTGCCCTGGCGTTCGGTAGATTCTCGGATTTCCTGAATTAACTTATTTAACCCAGATAGCTATGCCATGGAGCCTATTAGTGTAATAAAAGACTTTGGCTCCATGGCAATTGAACTGTATGTGCGCTCAGATCTAAGCTATCTGTGAATAGTTAGAATATGTATGATCTATGTGATAAATGTAAAACTATGTATTTTTTTGTCTTTTGTTGTCCTTTGTCTGCCATGTGGTTAATGGTGTTTTGCTTCTGTCCTTGGAGATAATTGGATTACTTCCCAATTATCTCCAAGACAGAGAGGAGGGATTATAATGTATTGTGGGAGTGTTTAAATGTGTAAGCTTGTGATTGGTCAATGTCCACTATGTATCCCAGTTTTCCATCTGGTCCCCTCGGGGAGTGTCCACCAGGTGGGAGACCTGCATAAAAGCCGGGCAGGTAGCCCCAGTAAATTAGTTCTGCTTGATCCTCAAACAAAGTGTCGTCTCGTTCTTGGGGAGAATTGGATTGTATGCTGTTACAGTGCGACTGCCAGGAGTGTAAACTGTTCGTATGGTTTTTCTTGTTCGGCTGTTTACAGCATCCGTGTGTTCGGGAGTTGGTGAATTTGTGTGTTTCCGGTTCGGGAGATTGGTGCTTGCAGCAGCTGTTTGTGTATTTAAAAGGGGACTATCGCCTAAACAGTTTTTTACCTCTTGTGTCCAAAACGGTCCGTTACAAACAATAACTGTGATTAATGTGAGTGTTCACAGACTGAAAGGAGAATGGTCACTTGTCTGCCATTTACACCACCGAATATAACTTTGAAAATCACTGTGAAAATTAACTTTTTAAATTATTATTATTACAAATTTAGCAAATGTAATCACAGTCCAGTTCAGAATCTTAATCCAGGGAAAACCTTGCAAATGAAGATTTAATTTCTCTCCTCTCTGTGTGCTCTCTCTGTACTGACTGCCAGGTGTAAAGGGCGGAGCTTATAACAATGATTGACAGGGAGCTAAGATGGAGGCGGCTCTCTATACTGACTGCCAGGTGTAAAGGGCGGAGCTTATAACAATGATTGACAGGGAGCTAAGATGGAGGCGGCTCTCTCTATACTGACTGCCAGGTGTAAAGGGCGGAGCTTATAACAATGACTGACAGGGAGCTAAGATGGAGGGGGCTCTCTCTATACTGACTGCCAGGTGTAAAGGGCGGAGTTTATAACAATGATTGACAGGGAGCTAAGATGGAGGTGTCTCTCTCTCTATACTGACTGCCAGGTGTAAAGGGCGGAGCTTATAACAATGACTGACAGGGAGCTAAGATGGAGGGGGCTCTCTCTATACTGACTGCCAGGTGTAAAGGGCGGAGCTTATAACAATGATTGACAGGGAGCTAAGATGGAGGTGGCTCTCTCTATACTGACTGCCAGGTGTAAAGGGCGGAGCTTATAACAATGATTGACAGGGAGCTAAGATGGAGGCGGCTCTCTCTATACTGACTGCCAGGTGTAAAGGGCTGAGCTTATAACAATGATTGACAGGGAGCTAAGATGGAGGTGGCTCTCTCTATACTGACTGAGAGGTGTAAAGGGCGGAGCTTATAACAATGATTGACAGGGAGCTAAGATGGAGGCTGCTCTCTCTATACTGACTGCCAGGTGTAATGGGCGGAGCTTATAACAATGATTGACATGGAGCTAAGATGGAGGCGGCTCTCTCTATGCCGACTGCCAGGTGTAAAGGGCGGAGCTTATAACAATGATTGACAGGGAGCTAAGATGGAGGTGGCTCTCTATACTGACTGCCAGGTGTAAAGGGCGGAGCTTATAACAATGATTGACAGGGAGCTAAGATGGAGGCGGCTCTCTCTATACTGACTGCCAGGTGTAAAGGGCGGAGCTTATAGCAATGACTGACAGGGAGCCAAGATGGAGGTGGCTTTCTCTATACTGACTGCCAGGTGTAAAGGGCGGAGCTTATAACAATGATTGACAGGGAGCTAAGATCGAGGTGGCTCTCTCTATACTGACTGCCAGGTGTAAAGGGCGGAGCTTATAACAATGATTGACAGGGAGCTAAGATGGAGGTGGCTCTTTCTATACTGACTGCCGGGTGTAAAGGGCGGAGCTTGTAACAATGACTGACAGGGAGCTAAGATGGAGGTGACTCTCTCTATACTGACTGCCAGGTGTAAAGGGCGGAGCTTATAACAATGATTGACAGGGAGCTAAGATGGAGGCGGCTCTCTCTATACTGACTGCCAGGTGTAAAGGGCGGAGCTTATAACAATCGGTAAGACCTCTGGGGAGAATCGGTAAGACCTCTGCAGTGTATCATAAAATGTAGTAATGCAGATTTATATTTATTAAAAAAGTATAATGAAAGCACTAACATAGTAAGAGGGTTTATCACCGGACAGAAACCTCTGTGGGTTTATGGTTTTAAGACCAGGACAGCCAGGCAGTTTGATAAGGATTGTTATTTCTGCATGGATTTGTAAAAAAGATTTATTTACTAAAGTGAGAGAATTTTCCTTTGAATTCTTGACCATTTTCAAAGTTTAGACCAATATATGTAAACTGGAAGCCTAGCTTTGGCTGTCTTTCTGGATACAAAGAACATTTCCTCCGTTCCAGGCACACTATCTCCCTTTCTGTTACTTTGTCCAACTGCTGTAATGCCGTAACCCGGCAAGCCGCGCACATATCGCCTCTCGCCATGCCAATAAACCTGCTCCGCCATTTCCAAGGCTGGGAACACGTTTCTTCTGCATCTCCTGTCTCTCGTCCGTCAGATATATTTCCAATCATACTCTTGGCTCCTGAATGGCTCTTCATTCTGCATCTCTCTAAACCTTTGTTTTATAACTGTGTGACGTACGATGTGTTTCGTAACAAGATTCACAGTATAAAGGTGAAATTCATTTCTAAAAAATATATCTTGTTTTTATCGGTTAATTAATTTCAGCGAATTTCCTGATTTCACACACTGAAAGACTTATCAGGTAAAGGATTAAATGGTTCTCCTGGAACCCTGGAATCTATAACTCTACTGACTGCGGATATGTGTTAATGCTGTGTATACTGAGCGTAACAAGGTGACTGGCTACAGCGGGGTTAATCCAGGGTGTAACATGACTGACCCATCCTGATATTGTATCTTAGACAGCGAGAGACGTTCTGGATATGAAAGGGTTACAGCGGGATTAATTCAGGGTGTAACATGGCTGACCCGTCCTGATACTGTATCTTAGACAGCGAGAGATGTTCTGGATATGAAAGGGTTACAGCGGGGTTAATCCAGGGTGTAACATGGCTGACCCGTCCTGATACTGTATCTTAGACAGCGAGAGACGTTCTGGATATGAAAGGGTTACAGCAGGATTAATCCAAGGTGTAACATGGCTGACCCGTCCTGATACTGTATCTTAGACAGCGAGAGACGTTCTGGATATGAAAGGGTTACAGCGGGGTTAATCCAGGGTGTAACATGGCTGACCCGTCCTGATACTGTATCTTAGACAGCGAGAGACGTTCTGGATATGAAAGGGTTACAGCGGGGTTAATCCAGGGTGTAACATGGCTGACCCGTCCTGATACTGTATCTTAAACAGCGAGAGACGTTCTGGATATGAAAGGGTTACAGCGGGGTTAATCCAGGGTGTAACATGGCTGACCCGTCCTGATACTGTATCTTAGACAGCGAGAGACGTTCTGGATATGAAAGGGTTACAGCGGGGTTAATCCAGGGTGTAACATGGCTGACCCGTCCTGATACTGTATCTTAAACAGCGAGAGACGTTCTGGATATGAAAGGGTTACAGCGGAGTTAATCCAGGGTGTAACATGGCTGACCCATCCTGATAC